TGTTTCGACATCTTTACGTTTACTCAACATTGTTTGTTTAAATCTTACACCTAACAGTATAAGCTATCCAGTGCTGCCAAATATATCTAAATCATGATGCACAAGCATGAGAAATTACTATTTGAAATTTACTGCAAAAATTCGTCACGCACCCTGTACAATGGTTGCTATGATGAGTTTTCACCGTTTGTTCTCCAGTTTCCAAAATGACGTCCAAGCAAGAGGAGCAGCGTGTCAAAATTTTGCTCGCGCTGCAAGAGAATCCGACGGTCTCACACGCCAAGTTGGCAAAATTGCTGGATGTGGCCAAATCGACCGTGACAAACGTTTTAAAAGTGTTCGGAGAGCGTCTGTCGACTGCCAGGAAGCCTGGAAGTGGTGGCAATCGTAACCCGGACATGGCAGCGACGACGAAGAAGGTGGCGCTGAAAAATAAGCGGAATTATAACCTCTCCATCCGGGACGTCGCTGGCAAGCTCAATGTCTCCCATACTACTGTGCAGCGGGCCAAGAAACGAGTCGGGTTGTCGACGTTTAAAGGGTGTCCACGATGAAATTGCCACACTATGAAATTGCTCTAACTTTTTAACCGTTGGGTAGAATTTAATGAAAATTTGGGTGGATTTAGTTCATAGTGCATTATTTACATCCTGCAAGTTTTAAAGTCCTGTGATCAAAACTCGCGGAAATGGAGTCGAAAGAACAGCTCGTGCGTGATAAAATCTTGCGCATTCATCACGAGAACAAGGATCTCTCGCATCGTTCCATCGCTAAAACGTTGGGAATCGCGAATTCCACGGTGTCGCGAGTGATTAAGCGGTTCGAGGAACGGTTGACCACCGATCGGAAGCCCAGAAGTGAAGGAAAAAGTATTCCGTACAACACCAAAAATCACAACCGCGTAGTTGGGGCCTTCAACCGAAATCCGAACGCCTCCGTTAGGGATGTGGCTAAGAAGCTGCACCTAAGCCGAAGTTTTGTCCAGAAGGCCAAAACTAAGGCTGGGCTTCGAACGTTCAAGGTACAAAAGGCCCCTAATCGCGACGAGAAGCAGAACAAGTCCGCCAAAACCCGTGCCAGGAAGTTGTACCTCAACATGCTGACGAAAGTTGAATGCTGCATCATGGACGACGAAACATATGTGAAGGCCGACTTCAAACAGATCCCCGGCAACCTTTTTTTCACGGCCAAGGATAAGTTCAGCGTTCCGGAGCATGTCCGCACTCAGAAGATGTCCAAATTTGCGAAGAAATTCCTGGTTTGGCAAGCCATCTGCACGTGCGGGAAGCGGAGTGCACCTTTCGTGACCCAGGACACGATGAACGGATAGGTGTACATAAAAGAGTGCCTCCAGAAGCGGCTGCTTCCTCTCCTGAAGGCCCACAACGTCCCAACAATCTTCTGGCCGGATTTGGCCTCATGCCACTACTCCAAGGACGTGCTGAAGTGGTATGCGGACAATAAGGTCAATTTCGTGCCGAAAATGTTCAACCCTCCCAACACTCCGGAGCTCCGCCCCATCGAGAAGTACTGGGCGATTATGAAGCAGCACCTTCTTAAACGACCTAAGGTAGTGAAGACAGTCGAGGAACTGAAGAAAGTATGGGTTTACATGCAAAAAACGGTTGATTCACAGGTTGTGCAGAATCTTATGGCCGGGGTTAAGGCCAAGGTGCGGGCATTTGCGTATGGACTGTAAATAAAATACGAGTAAAATGGTAAAATGAAGTTTAATACTTATTTCTCAATCCCTGAAAATTTGATGGCAATCGGATGAAAACTCGAATTTTGCGAATCAATTTTGTGTATGGCAATTTCATCGTGGACACCCTTTAAGAAGGTGAAGGTGGCGAACCGAGATTACAAACAAAACACGTCGGCAAAGCAGCGGTCCCGAAAGCTGTATACGAATCTGCTCACAAAGTTCGACCAACAATCAATACGAAACTAACAATTTTAAATTGGCTCACTACTTGACTAGCCTATTGGTCCCAAGCAAACGATTAACGTACCCTATTCTAGTCGAAATTCTACTACTACACTATGTTTGTTTTGATTTGATATGAAAGTTTGACAGATGAAATAAAGGGTTAGTGGATTTTCCTATGTTTCGAGGGGTGAATCGATTAGCTTGGGACCGAAGATAGTACCAGAGCTGAGCCAAAAAGTTGAGCACGTTATTTCAGGACCTTCTAGTCTTAGAGTTACCTTTATGGTTCGACTGTGTCGTCATGGACGACGAAACTTATGTGAAGGTGGATTTCGAACAGCTTCCAGGACAGGATTTTTATACCGCATCAGGAAAAGGGAAGGTGGCTGAAATTTTCAAAACCATCAAACTATCGAAGTTCCCGAAAAAAATATCTCATCTGGCAGGCCATATGCTCGTGTGATCTAAAAAGCGGCATTTTCATTACTACGGGAACCATCAATCAAGAGATCTACGTCCAGGAGTGCCTGGAAAAGCGGCTGCTACCATTCCTAAAGCAACATAATAGACCTGTGCTGTTCTGGCCGGACTTGGCGAGCTGCCACTATGAGAAAAAGGCAATCGAGTGGTACCGATGCGAACAACGTGGTTGTGGTACCCAAAGACCACAACCCTCCCAACAGCCTAGAACTCCCCCCTATCCAACGGTATTGGGCCTTGGTCAAACGGAATCTCAAAAAAAAAAAAAACTAATAAATCCAGGGAAAACGAGCAGCAGTTTAAATCTAACTGGCGTTCGGCGGCGAATAAGGTCGATGAGACCACTGTGCAAAATTTAATGTAAGGGGTTAAGCGGAAGGCACGGCAGTTTGGATTTAGTAAACCAAAAGAATAAACGAACATTTTTTTTCCCTTTAAATATAATGAATTGAACTATCAAAAGAAAAATAAGAAGATTTTTGTGATATGAATTTTGACTGAAAGAAACGATTTTTTTGTCGACCAATGTTTGCGCGTTCCAGTCTTTAATCCTTAGTGAAGTGCTGTTGGTGTCGAACTTCGAATTGAATCTGGTTTCCGTCTAATGCTGGGTTTAGACTAGGCAAGTCAAATGATCAACTCAGTTGAATTCAATTGGCTTGCAAAGTTGAGCCTGGTTCAACTTTTTTCAATTCAAGTGAGTTGATCATTTGACTTGCCTAGTCTAAACCCAGCATAATGGAGCCACGATTATATTTGACGTCAACGGATGCCGGATTCTGAAGGATGAGAAAGTAATTGTAGGAGCAACGGTTTTGGGTGGGCTGTACTCAATGAGGTACAGAGAGAGGTGGAGCAGATCGTGAAATAGGGTTGTATTAGTAAACCAAAAAATCAACGTAAACGCAAGTAGTGACGTCACTACTTGCGTGTACTTGCCTGTATCGTACAGTGGTTGTGTGAGTGATTGCTTCACCTCGGTAATCCAGCTCATTGGGCTGTACTACCTGAAGGTAGCCCAGGAAGCACTGAGCGTGAAACACACATCGGGTTGTCAGTACACAGCATCCTGGGGCATCGTGATCATAAAGCAGTTCGAGAGCTCGTAAACGAAGGAAATGGAAACTTGTATCAAGATGGAAGATTGCAGCTGTCGGGTCGACTATGAATGTTTATGGCAGGAAAGGTGCAGCGCCTTCCGTTTCCCAAGAAGAAGGCCAATGAAAAATGTGGCACCTGTTCAAATGTTCAAGAATACGTTAAGTGTGTCAGAACCGAAGACGGAGACTCTATCAACGATGCAGGAAAGATTGTGTTTTGTTGTGGCTAGCTGCGCGCACGATTGATGACGATTTCCTGCAAAAAGGCAAGTGTATGCGAGAAATGAATGAAGATTGGCCATGGCCTCCAATCAAACATGGCCTCCAATCAAAGATTGATTCGCTAGTGTCGTAGTTTTTGATCATATAGAATTGAGATTTAGATGTGTCGACCCCCTCGGTCAGATCGCAGTTTGGCAGAAATCCGATCGGATCAAGTGAATATCATAGTCATATACTGGATTCCTTTTGTCGAGCGGAAGGAATTAGCCAAAAATTTACCACAGCATGCACTCCACACAGTGGCGTTCCGTAACCTCACTTTTGACCTGTGCACCAACTTTCAAAACCAGATTTAATGCCATATTCATACTCGAATCGGTTGAAAAATACACTTAATCTTCAGTTAACTCGATATCTATCTATCCATGGCAAGCAACATTTTTTTGATAACTGTTTATCTTTTGAGCGTTGGTACACAGGTAGATTGAGGTTAAGGAAACGCTACTGACTCCACAGCTGAACGGAGTAGCGGAGCGGAAAAATCGCTCTTTGGTAGAAATGGCGAGCTGCATGATACTGGAATTCCGAATGCCGTTGAAGTACTGGGCTGAAGCGGTTAACACGGCTATCTATCTGCAAAACCTTTGAAGGACACTCCGATCGAGCTGTGGACCATTTCGCCACCTATTTTTGATTCGAAACCACTGTGCATTGGTTAAATGAATGCTTTACTACATTCTATGTAAGTACTTTGTCTCGAGTTAAGAAGGAAGTTGACTTCCCTTGTCAATTACTGCATAATACCTTCTCGTTTGTCTGCAGAGTTGCCTAACAGGTCACTGTTGAATGTTACCAATCCATACCATTGATTGTTGAACAATGAAAAATAATCTTTCGAAGCGCGCTGAAGGCTTTAATATGTGTTTCTGTTCTACTTAAGATACGCAAAAACCTCCCTTCGCAACTTCCCACCAATCGTGGAACGGGGGGGAAATGGTAATTGAATTATACCCAAACATTGGTTTCCAATCCACATGAGTAAACACTTGCTACACAGTACGGCCCATCAGTGTTTCATTCGAGGTCATGAGACAAGCACATGACCAAACCCAACACGACCTAGAAGCAAACAGATTAAAGCGTACAGCCCAATTCACATGCACAATGCAATCACGGTCAACACGTGTGTTCCGCACTGGTTACAGTTTCAAACCAATCAGCTGAATTCATATACTAATTACCTTCTCCTACTTTCCTCTTCCTTTCAGCAGCTGGCCTCGGAAACTTCTCGTTCGGTGCACAGTCGGCGACGCCAGCGTTTGGCGCCGCCCCGGCCGGAACCGGTACGGCAGCGACCCCGTCGTTGTTCGGTGGTGGTCAAGCCGCCGGCAATACGGCCCCCAATACGGGCTTCGGTGGATTCGGAGCGGCAGCGGCACCTGCTGCTGCCCCAGCAGGTACTTCGGCATTCGGCTTCGGAAGCAACACCACCGCGGGCACCGCTGTGACGCCGGCGTTTGGCGGATTTGGAACGGCGGGAGGCACCGCTCCCGGTGGGGCAACGCCGTTCGGAGGATTCGGAACGGCCGCTAACACTTCGACGGCTGCGCCCGCGTTCGGAGGATTCGGAACGGCGGCGGCGACGACCAGTGGTGAGTGGATATTTTTGGATTAGGTAGTCTAGTCGGTTTCTTTTTGCGTTTATGTTTTGTGCTTTGGAGTTAACAAATGGGATTATAGCGGGAAATGGAAATGGTTTTGTATATTTAGGAACCGGCATCGGTACGTTTCGATTTCCATCGTGCCTGAAATATGGATGTGTTCGAGTGAAATAATCATGTTTCTCGACGAATATTGAGCAGCTTTTCTCATGTCTTCATGTTTTTTGGAGATCATTTTTTTCCAGAGGAGACCTTTTTGACTCAAGACTCAAGGACGTATGAGTTTACGCATATGTATTTTTAGAAAAATATCTCGAAACCGTTGATTGTAACGAAATTGTGTCTGAGGAAAAGACGTAGATAATCAATTAAGCTTTATAAAAAAATATACACTGAAAAGAAACTTGTACTGGAAGTTTCTTGAATTACAGCTAAAGATTGTCTTGGAGTTTTGCAGGTTTTATGAGCTTCCATCGGAGATTCCTTGGACATCCTCCAAATGTTCTCTGAACTTCTTCTGGAGGATACCTCATCTTCCTTTGTTGGTTTCTTGAATTACTTTTTACTTTTCCTGGTCCGACGCCCCTCAGGATTACACCTGCGTCACAATGTTACGCCAACTAACTCGGTTCGGGGCTGCTTGTCTCCAATTTCTTGACCGTCCCACACTTCCTAGATCTTGCTCCACTTGGTCTAACCATCTTGCTCGCTGTGCTCCTCTGCGTCTTGTACCGGCCGGATACGAGGCAACACCATTTTTGCGGGATTGTTGTCCGGCATTCTTACAACGTGTCCCGCCCATCGCACCTTTCGCGACTTTTTGGATACTGAGTTCGCTATAGAGTTGCACCAGCTCGTGGTTCATCCTTCTCATCCATAAACCGTTCTCACACACCCCGCCAAAGATGGTCCTAAGCACTTGTCGTTCAAAAAACACCTAGTGCTTGCAGGTCCTCCTCGAGCATCGTCCACGTCTCGTGCCCGTAGAGAACTATCGGTCTTATCAGCGTCTTGTACATGGTCCATTTAGTACGGGGGTAAAGTTTACCTGACCTCAGGGTCTTGTGGAGTCCGTAGTAAGCACGACTTCCGGCAATTATACGTCTACGAATTTCTCTGCTGCAGTTGTGATCCGACGTCATCAATGAACCGAGGTACACAAATTGGTTTCTTGAATACCTCCTGTAAATTTCCTGAACTTCTACTAGGGTTCTTAAATTTTGTTATTATGATGCCCTAAGACGTTTCGTGATCTTAAGCTAGAAGTTTCAAAACGTTTTCTGGACAATTCCTGAAGAATTCTAAGCTTCCATTGCAGGTTTCCTGAGTTTTACTTGGTGATTTCGTTAATTATCTAATTTATCATGGAGGTATTCTCAATTTTTCCGGGAAGATACTTTGCCCACAGATTTACGGTGTTTCCTCTGGTAAAATTCTTGAAAATTTCTTTAAATTCAACTGAAGATTTCCAGTTTCCAAGACCTGCTTGGAAGTTTCTTGAACTCAAGATAGATTTGCGAGTTTCCTGAACATCTTTTGGACATTCCTTCGACAATACTTTAGACGTACTCCGAACTTTTACTGAAGGATCCAGCTTCTAACCTCATTTGAGACTTCTTTCAGCGATTTATTATCAAAAGATACCTCGCATTGTCCCTTTAGGTTCCCGGAACATCAAATGGTTTCCTATAATTTAAATATAAAAATACAATTTAGTAAATATAAGATATGAAACCGACATTCACCGTACATCTTTCCTTTCACCGTTTCTCTCCGGCAGCTCCGGCCTTCGGTGGTTTTGGAGGGTTCGGAACGACCACCACCAGTACAGCCCCGTCCCTGTTTGGTCAATCCGGTGCCGCCGCAGCCGGTTTTGGTGGATTTGGATCCTCGTTTGGAGCTGGAGGTGGTTTCGGCCAACAGCACCAGCAACAGCAGCCGGCAGGCTTGGGATTCGGTCAAAGCTTCCAACAGCAGCTGCAGCAACAGCCCCCGGCCCTTACCCAGGAGGAAGCATTCGCCCAATCCATTTTCAATGTGTCCATTTTCGGCGACGAGCGGGACACGGTTATCGCCAAGTGGAACTACCTGCAGTCGATGCTGGGCACGGGAAAGGCCTTCTACTCGCAGAATAATCCGGCAGTGGAAATCACCCCCAGCAACTACCTGTGCCGTTTCAAGACCATGGGCTATACGAAGCTTCCCGGGAAGGAGAACAAGGTCGGTTTGGTTGGCTTGACCATCAACAAAACTGCCGGACAGGTGAAGGATCAACAGCAGCAGTTTGTTACGAGTTTGAATCAGATTTTCGGCAACAAACCAAACATTGCCATCACTGTCGAAAGCGTCAAAGTGGTTGGTGACAGCAAATCCCAAGTCGTTATCTACGTTGAGGAAAAATCGACGACTTCGAACGAAACGAAACGCATTCTGGCCACGGAAGTGGCCACCTACCTTAATCAACCGACGCCGAAGCATCAGCTGACTAGTTTGGGCGTTGAAACCGTGGTCGCATTGGTTCTTCCGGAGGAGGATCAGCTGAAAGAGTATCTGGATAATCCACCGAAGGGCATCGACCCGCGGATGTGGCAACAGGCAAAGATCGACAATCCCGATCCGAAGCGGTTCATTCCGGTGCCGATGATCGGATTCCAGGAGCTCAAGTGGCGCATCAAGTGCCAGGAAAACGAAACCGATATTCACGTTTCCTATCTGGACAAGGTGGAGAAGGAAATAGAACAGCTCAAACAGCGGCACACCAACACGACGGCGAAGATTATGGAACACCGTAGGAAGTTTGCCGAGCTGAGTCATCGGATTTTGAGAATCATTGTGAAGCAGGAGAGCACCCGGAAGATGGGTTTCGCCCTGCTGCCGGAGGAGGAAATGATCCGCAGTAAGTTGGAAAATATGCACGCGCTGGTTTCGACGCCGACGCAGTTCAAGGGCAAACTGAGCGAACTGCTGTCGCAGATGAGGATGCAGCGGAACCAGTGGACACATGCCGGAGGAACGAACGACTATACGTTGGATAAAGGTTAGTGAATCGTTTGGACTTGGGGAGAATTGTTGGGATTTTAACTGTTTATTTTTTCTCAAACTGCAGAGTCATCGGAGGAGATGAAGAGTTTCCTCACGATGCAGCAGAAGGCGATGGCGTTCCTGGTTGAAACGGTGAACAAGGACCTAAAGGACCTCAAGGTTATTTCGGATGGGATGTCACGTTTGATACCAAATTAGGGACTAGAAGTTAATTTTATTATTCTACATATGAGGTAAGTCACACACACACACACAGAAATGCTACATGAATACAAAATTATGCGATAGCAACACAATGAAAGCGGAAAATGGCGATGATGGTTTTCTTTGGTAGAAAAAAATGAGAACGTTATCCCAGCAGGATGTTGCTGTACGGATGACTGTCCACGATCGGCTGACCGGGCATGGTGTACCGAGGGGAGATGTAGTAGGTGGTCTTTTCCATCGCTACGTAGCGGTTCTTGGGCCAACCGTACATGCCTGGAAGAGGTGGAAATGGGTGGATTTTGATTAGTATACATATTAGGAACTTTGCGATAGATCGTACAACTAGTGCCGAGGATTGGCTTGGATTGTGTGCTGCTGTTTAACCAAGTATCATTGAAGACGTACATATCGTAACAAGCGAACAAGCCAATTAGAGCACCCGCACCAATGCGTTGCTAAATCTATTTTAGCAACGTCCACCATAACGCAGTAACCACACTGGGGGTTGCTATTCAAGTGCGGGGAATAACAATCTGCCTCTCGGTGAACAGCGGGTTGACAATAGCAACCGGCCCAAGCGTTGAAATGTTTGTTTTGTTTTTCATTTGATCTGGGACCAGCATTCGAACTCTGCTAGCCACAACCCGGTCTTTCAGGAGGTCCGGACCATGCGTAAAAGTGATTAAAAAGATTCAAGAGCTTTACGATTCACTTATTCTGAAGCTACATGTATGAATCAGGATCTAGGACTAGCATATGCAATCAGGTACCGGTGTGGTTCTCTGGAAGATTTTGAACATCGACAAAAGAAGTTAATTCGCGTAAAACTCCTAGTTTTATCTGGGCTTCCCTGAGGTTTTGAATCTTTCCTGAAGTTCCGGAAATTTTAATTATATTTATAAAATTTTCTGAAGCATCGCAAAATTCATGAAATTATTGAAATATCCCATAATTCCTTTGAATTCCTTGAAATATCCTGCAATTTTTTTTAAATAAATGAAACTGATATGAAGATCTCTAATCAGCTACGAAGTTCCGGGAGCTTTCCAAAATATAATGAAACTACTAAAAAATCTATATACTTCTCTGAAGGTCTCTAGACGTTCTTGAAGATTTCTGAATATTTTAAAAGATCTCGCGATTTTCTTGAACGTAATCTGATAGTCGCTGAAGTTCCTGCATTTTTTTGCAGCTCTGATCTCTTATATTTCTGAAATTTAAATAAAGGTCTTGGTACTTTGATAAAGTTTTGGAAATTCCCTGAGTTTCTTGGAACTTCTTAAACATTCTTCAATTTCCATGAAATTAGTTTATTTATTTCTTTTTTCCATTCCTGAAGTACTCTTAATTCTTTTGAAGTTCTTGGTACTACCAACAATCAATACGAAACTAACGATTTTAAATTGGTTCACTACTTGACTAGCCTATTGGTCCCATGCAAACGATTAACGTACCCCATTCTAGTCGAATTTCTACTACTACACAATGTTTGTTTTGATTCGCTATGAAAGTTTGACAGATAAAATTAGGGGTTAGTGGATTTTCCTATGTTTCGAGGGGTGAATCGCTTAGCTTGGGACCGAAGATAGTATCAGAGTTGAGCCAAAAAGTTGAGCACGTTATTTCGGGACCTTCTAGTCTTAGAGTTACCTCTATGGTACTACCCTGAACAAAATAGAACCGTTAAAAAAATTCTCGAAGTTTGTCTGATTTTTTTTTAACTGACCGGAATTCATCGGAGCTTACGCATACAAATCTTTGAACTTCCCTAAGAGTCTGGAATTTTTTGAATTTCTCGAAGTTATGAAGCTATTGGAAGTGCCGTTAATATCTCTGAAATTCCCTAAAGCTCTCTACTTCATTCCTTTATTTAACGTCGGTCTCTGTTCCGCAATCGAATGTGCAGGAAGGCAGCTTCCACACCTGCGTAGGATATCGCACCCATTCACTACACACATGGGCCGGGACCAACGGCTTTACTTCCCTTCCGAAGGAAGACGTGACCAGAGATTTTTATGCCTCAGAAAAATCCCACCGACTTCGGCTGGGATTGAACCCAGACCCATTGGGGTGTTAGAAAGCAGTCACGCTTACCACTACACCACCGGCGCCGGCCTAAAGCTCTCTAGTTTAACTTCTTTGAGGTACTTGGAAGATCTTTAAAATGACAATTTTCCTCAAGTTATCACCATATTTCTAAAATTACTTTGATTTCCCTAAAGTTCTCTGGATATCCCAGAATTTCTCAAATTTTCTTAAAAGCTCCTGCAGTTTCTTTAAGCTTTTGGAACCACTTTAAAAATCCTGAAGTTTGCCTGAAGTTAACAAAAAAATTCAGAAATTTTGCGGAACTTTCCTTTTGTTCCCGCAGTTTGCCTATGAAACTTCCAGTACTTCTTTTCATTCCTCAGACTCTCCTGAAGATCTCTATTGTTTCCTGAAGTTTACGGAACTTCCCTTATGATGTTCCTGGAATTGTTCAGAAATTAATGGAACTGCCCAGAAGATCTTTGATTTCCCTTTAAACATGGATCTTCTGTGTAGCTTTCTTAATGTTTTTAAGTTCATCCCCTGAAGTTTTTTTTACTATCCTTAAATTTTCGGAGCTTCTTGATGGTTTCCTCTATTTTCTTGAAATAAATGGATCTGCCATAAAGTTCTCGAAACGAACCTAAAGTTTTAGGACCGTCCCTCAAGTTCTCACAGTTTTCCTGATATTCATGGAACTACCCTAACATTTTCAGAACTTACCCGAAGTTCACGTAACTTACTCATAGGTCTTTAAGCTTAAATTTTCCTGAATTTAATGGAACTGCCCTGAAGCTCTTGATCTTCGCTGAAGTAAATTTCTTGAAATCTATTAGATTGCCCTGGAGCTGTCGACACTTACTCCTAAAGATCTTTTAACTTTCCCACATTTCTATCAATCAGAACTTTTTAATGGTTTCATTATTTATCTGATGTTAATAGATCTACCGTATTAAATTCGACCAACTGTGCTTGATACATTCACAAGCTAAAATATGTAATCTAGTCATCCAGATGGGCATCCGAAAATGCCTTTAGGCATTTTGGTGCGCAACTTTTATAAGATGAGCATACGAAGATCGATATTTTGATCATTTTTACGAATTGACCACTTTTATGGATGTTCCGGATCTCCCAGAGTTTCGTGACTACCGGTGTGCGCATGCTGGTCCCAGATTCAAATTCATTCATGTAGCATCACAACAAGTGATTTTAAAAAAAATCGCTAGGCTATTCGGATCTTCGGGAGGACCGTTTCTTGAGTACCTGGGTCTGTAGATGGATCTAACCTTCAATTTTCAGTCTTCGTGGTTAGGTATATCAATATTGTCGAAAAAAAAACAATCACGAAACTCTGTGATCAATTTCAGTTCGAGGTTCGACGATAAGTTTAACAACACTAGCCGAAAACGTAAATTCACAATCGTGATAGCAACGACCGGTGCGTAAACAACTTGCTAACTAAGGCTCTGCACCATTTGGTGGATTATTTTAACTTTTAGTTAAAATTTGACAGATGGAAAGTTATCGATGAACCCTGCTTTTTTTTTTTCCTTTGGTTTGTTTTTTCCGTCGATCTTGTTTTCCGTGCTGAGCACCAATGCTACCGACGTGCCAGGAAGGCAGCTCCTACACCTGGACCCTACCTATCGACCCATCAACTCATGAACCGGGGACCAACGGCTTTACTTCCCATCCGAAGGAAGGCGTGATCAGAGATGTTATGCCTCAGAACATCCCGGCGGCGCCGACTGGGATTGAACCCAGGCCTACTGGGGTGAGAGGTAATCACGCTTACCACTACACCACCGGCGCCGTTGATGAACCCTGCTATCCGAGCTTTGTTATTTCTGACAGACAAGAAGTTAAATTTTGACAACCGTGGGTTGAAAACCGGTCGATCGACAGCACGGGGATTTTCGAACATAGAAAATAACTTTCGAAATGTCACCTTTAACCACGAGTTAAATTTAACTTGGCAAATGGTTCACAGCCTAAAATAGCAATGGCTAAAGTTGTCAAATTAGCAGCCCGAATAGCAACGCATTGGTGCGGGTGCTCTTAGTACTTTTAGACTTTTTGGTAGTAGAGCAATAGGTTGTTTTACGTCTTCAAATTCTGATGAAATTCTTAAGCGCACAAGGACTTAATTTCCCCTGATGAGAATAGATAAAGCCCGTATTTCCCCTGTTTCATCTATCTGAATGCCGATTCATGATTTTCTGAGAAGAATTCCTACTGTTATTTGAGTGAAGAAGATAAAGGTGAGCGAACTGTCGGTGTAATTCCAAGCCAGCCGTCTGGAACCTTGGTCTTTCCTCCATCTTCAGGTGGGCGAATTGTTGTGTGAGTCCACGCCAGTCGCCTGAAACATTGGTGAGCTAAATAACAGACGGCCTCCAGCTTACTGCTGCAACGAAGCAATTAGCACCCTCCGCGCTAGTTGTCTCAGACCCAGAAGACGTGCTCGGAAGCAAACCCCACACGCATCAATATATTGACGCGAAGGGTAATTATTGACAATAATATTGATGATGTGAGTTCAGATATAGCACAGACAAACAGACATAACACTCACAAGTTGTTCATCGAACAAGCATTTAACGGCCAATTTAAAAGTATCTCAGTTGGTAGTACTGCCACCTGTGGCGCGCATAGTCAATTCCCTTGCGTTTGACGTTTACTCACTACCGCCATCTGTTCAGCATACTACCCACCACAGTGTACTCAACAGATGGCGGTAATGTTTTAGCGACGATGTTTTACAAAGAGAAATATTCAATTTGTTATGTCTGTTTGTCTGTGGATATAGTGTCAATCTCGATGTATTGACGTCAATATAGAATGTATTGACAATACGATTATTGTCAATAAAAGCAATCTGTAGGGTCCACTAGAGAGCAAGAACAGAAGCAGACAGAGAGGAACGTAGAGGAATGTTCGGAGCACATAACCTAGAGATAAAGCAGAGCAAGACAAACTGTCAACTGGAGTTGGGTCGAGACGCTGCTGCCAACGACGCATATCGTGTCGTGATGACGAAAATCAGATGTTAAGTCATGCCCGCTGAAATGTACGAAACCGAACTTTTTGTCAGTGCGAACCTCAACCTGAGCTAGGTTTTAAAAACAAACCAGCAAACTGACGTTTGTCAGAAAACAAGCAGACCCAATCTTGATACCCGATCCAGGTTGGAACTGAATAATAAACGAATTCGCTATTAGATAACCTGAAAGTCATCGTGG